AGCTGAGCCTGGTTTGGGCCACAATCATTTTAGGCTACAGGTTGGAAACTCAGCTCGAACATGTAAAAAAATTCAACTGCTTACATTCTTCAGTCTTTCTTTATAATCGCACCCCCCTTTCCCCTTTTCTTTTAGTTGTTTTAGCTTGGTTTCAAAATACAGTTTTAACCGTTTCAGAACGGGCATCTAGTTATGAAGAACAACACAATGACCCCTATTTGGCATAAACAATCTTGTTTGGCTGGGGGTTTGAAGTTCCTTTACGTTCCACTCCAAAGTAATGCCCGTTATTTCTCAGATACAAGCGGAATGAGTGATCTGAATTGATCTCCATCAAATCGAGGAAGTGTTTTTTTTTCCCCCATTCAAGGCCAGAGGTCTCTATTCCCAGAGAGGAATGTAAAATAAGAGCAGCATCTGTTGCCTTCTGGGCTCACAGAAAAGGTTATGTCTCACAGACATATAAATATAAATATGCAAAGCTTTGGAAGGGACAGAGTACATCACAGGATTTGGGTATAGGCTCAGCAGAATGATGTACCGCTTTGGGAAGGTGCAGTTTTGCTAGCGTCATCACTATATCCTAATTAGGGCACTTACCTGCCTGCCTAATCTAATCCTGGATTAGCATTTGGATAAGATTTCAGAATTGCTATAATTGTACTTGCAGATAACAAATCATTCTTGAACTTAAAGAGACTTTCCTCACACTTAACCATTGTATATGCAAGATTGTTTAAACTGCTGTAAAGAACAAAATATATCTTTGCACATTCGCAAATACACTTCCATATGGGGTTGCCTGTTCTTATTGCTGGTTGAGGGTATTCAGCCCCTCATAAATCACTGCTGTGGCAGATTATTGTAGTTTTCCTTTGGGACATGACTGATCATGCTAAACCAAAACTGCAAAAGCCCCCTTACGCCCTACAGAAGGCCAACTGGATCACCTACAAATACGAAGGAAAATGCTTTTCTTTTTCTTGGTCTCTTACTTTCACTGAATATTATATGGACTATTTAGTACAGAGTGTTGCAGCTGTGGGCTTTAATGATCCTAAAAGGGCCCAGTAGTGAAACAGGATCTATATTTCTCCTAAGACATATCGTACACCTACAGAATATATTCTAGATGGCTCAAAGATATGGGCCCAGTTTTTTTCCATGTCAGAGTCAGAAATTCTGCTGTTACTGGTGATTGAATGCTGGAAATTGTGGGTCTGGGTAATTTAAGAATGGCCCCCCAATCAGTTACAAGGCTAAGCAATCTTAATTGATCTCAAAAGTGATTTAAGATCAAATGTGATAAGTAATTGGATATCACACTCCCAGAAAATCTTAGAAATGTAGATTAGACTGGAAGCCACCCCCACCCCCCCAAAAGCCCACTTCCATATTACTACTAAGAAAACAGTGGAGAATGCATCCATCAAGTCACTAGGAGTTAAATTTAAGGTGAAGAGATTTTACTTTAGCTTACAAATGACTGCAGGTTGTGTACAATGAAAAAATAGGTTCACACATTGTACTAAAATCATAATGTGATTTGTCATCTGAATTTAGAATTAGAATCACAGAGTTGGAAGGGGCCTTGGAGGTCTTCTAGTCGAACTCCTTGCTCAGGTAGGAAACCTCACTCCTATAGCATTGTGGTTGTCCAATCTCTTCTTTAAAACTTCCAGTACTGGAGAATTCACAACTTCTGGAGGTAAGTTGTTCCACTGGTTAATTGATCTAACATGTTTGGGTTTGCCTGAAAAATGCCATACGATCAACAGTTATTCAAACTCAGACTCAATCAAGATAGAATGATGAAGGAAATTGTGGCTTTAAAAAATTTAAGCAAATCATAGTTTCATCCATACAGGAACAAGAAATAATAGTTTCTACATTGATCTTCCTCTTTCCTGTTTGATTTTTTTATTATTATTATTATTTTCTCTAAGTAACAAAGAGGCATTCTTCTTGGACATGCCTTTGAAATGTACCTCCCAACTGAAATTTAAACTATGCCTGTAACATTAGGTCATGAACAAAAGAAACTATCTTATGAAATAAAACTATTGCTCCAGCTGGCCCAGCATCTAATTTTTGGCAGTGGCTCTCAAAAATCTCCTTCAGTCGATTTGCACATCTGCAAACAGAGGCACCAAAGGATACATCTGGGAATTTGTATAAGAGGAACAGGTAGCCTGTTTTTTCTTCTACCAATGATTAGTGTCTTGGAGAAAAACTGTTGTTAGGACAATAGTAGTAAGGGAACACACTGGAATTAACCTAGAAAGATCTTCTCCCTCCTTCCACCCTATGTGAAGAGAGGAACGAAATTTCAAACTTTGAAGAGTAAAAATGAATCAGCGCATCCTTTGCCATTCCTCTGCAAGTGAGGTTTACACTACCCCAAACAAAACTGCGAGGACAATATAATAAGACTCTGCTATTTTAATGGACTTTGGCCACAAATAGTTGCCAATGGGTAGCATAGCAGTACTTCGTTTATGATCAAATGAAATGAAGGACATTTTGCACAATTGGGCATTCTCTTGTTTTCCCCTCTTTATCTTTTTTTTTTTAAATCCTTTGGACTACAATATCAAGATAGCAGAGATTAATTAAGAATACAAAGATTAAAGCCTCTTTTCTCATTATCTGTGGAGAGGAGATGGGAAGAAAACACACAGCATCCACTTGGCAATAAGCTTTCCCCCCAATATGTCTTTTATGTCTTTTATTGGGGTTTTGGAGTGTGTATATGGTAGTTTGTGCGTTTGGCAACTCCTTTTCTAAACCAGCTTCAGTTGTTTTGTTACTTTGGCTCTTTGAGTATAATTAATTGCTGGAACTCAAAAAGTGCCTGAAAACACAAACCCAAATACCATCGCCTTTTGTTGAAATATTACAAATTCGGAGAAAAGATTTAGCTGTGCTTTTGGCACCAGAGGGCGACTTGATGAAATTCAACTAATCTCCCAAAGGGATAATCTGGACCCAGGTCAACTTGGAAGACAATTTTTGATGACCCTGAAGCTCTACTTCTACCATCTTCCACCTGGTGAGGGAAAACATACCAGCAGATTTTAACCTGGCATTCATAAGAGCTGAGAGTTAAGTCTGCAACTAAAGAAAAATCGAGGCTGGACAACTTCTGCCTTTCCATCTTGTGACCAAAACCCTGGCAAGAGCGATCTGTCCTCCCAATGGCAGTTTTTTAGGAAGTGGGCTTGTGGTAGAAAGGAAGAGAGATAGAAGCCATCCCCATATACTGCTGACTTTGGCACAGCCTGAAAATAATTTATTCCCCTAGACCAGGGGTGTCCAACCTTGGCAACTTTAAGACTTGTGGACTTCAACTCCCAGAATTCCTCAGCCAGCTTTGCTGGCTGAGGAATTCTGGGAGTTGA